TAAGGTAAGACTCTGATGGCATTTGGTACACAAATGAGATGATACTGAGGAGACATTTCCAAAACCAATCTTAACTATTGACAGAATGCTAACAGTCATAACTGAGGAAAACAGATGTTCAGCTGTCTTCCGTCTCATTGTTGCCCTCCTCTTGGAGGAACATGACCACCACCCATACCCCAGGTAGGGATATTACACCTCAGTGAAGGGAGGAAACAAGGAAGAGAAAAGACACAGACTTAAGCATCATTTGGTTTTTCCCCAACTCAAGACTTAAGGGCAATTTGGGCAAAATTAGAGGAATCAGGGCAGCCACTTCACATGTGCACCCAAGTACACACAAATACACACACAGGAAACATGAAGAAGGGAGTTTCCAGAAGTGCTCCAAGTGGCCAAGGCCAAGGCTGTGGGCCCTGAGACCTGAGAGCACCTGCACCCCCACACCACTGGTCCCTGGTCTCAAAGAGTACTGGCTTCGAAGGACAACTAGTCAGAAGCAAAAGCTCAAGAAGCTGTCCTTTCTCCCTCAAACCCACAACCAGATGGGCTGGGGAACTTGGTGACAGATGCCTCTGGGTCCCAGATGTCCCCGGTACCCACTAATTTGCACACAATCCCGAGGAAAAATAACTACATTTCAATACTAAGGGAAAATGAAAGAGCAAAGGTATTACAAAGATTAACTCTCGTATACCTAAAAGAACTCAGCTTTCTTTCCAGAATGATTAACATTTAGATTATGCACTTAGCATGTGCCAGATGCTGTAAAAATGCATAACATAGATTATGTCATTTAAATCCCCTCCATACTAAAAGGTGCACTAAAAAACAATTAGAAAGCCAGGCAAATCAGCAAACTCCTGTAATCCCAGCTGCTCAGAAGACTGAGTTAGAAAGAGCAGGCAACTTGATGAGATCCCTGTTTAGGGGGAGAAAGGGGAGACATAAAGACATTTTTTGGGGGGGTGTCAGTCCTGGAGCTTGAAGTCAAGAGCCCAGACACTGTCCCTGAGTTTTTATGCTCAAGGCTAGTGCTTGAGCCACAGTTCCACTTCTGGGTTATTTGGGGGGAGGAGTGGGTTGGTGCTTAATTGTAGATAAAAGTCTCATGGACTTTCCTGTGAGAGCTGGCTTTGAACCCTGATCCTCAGATCTCAGCCTAGCTAGGATTATAGGCATGAGTCACAAACACTCTTGAGACCATCACTACTAAGGTCTCCTTTGCCTCATTGAGACCTTAGATTACCACACAGGCCAACAACTGCTTGTTCCTAAAGTACTTGATCTGATGAAACATCCTGAACTCAGCACTGAAGAAGGAATATCAAAAGGTAAGAAAATAAAACTGTCACCCCCTCAATGCTCCCTCAAAGAATGAGGTCAAGAAAAATCTAAAGCCAGTAATGGGTGGCTCATACTTACAGTCCTAGCTACTCAAAAGGGAAAGACCTGAAGATCAACACTCAAAGCTAGCCAGGAAGGAAAGTCTGTAAGATCCTTATTTCCAATTAACCACCAAAAGTGGAGGTGTGGCTCAAAAAGTACACCACCAGAGGCTGGGAAGGTGGCTCAGTGGTAGAGCGCTTGCTTTGCATGTCTGAGGCCCTGGGTTCGATTCCTCAGCACCAAATAAGCAAAAAAAGAAAAAAGCTGGAAGTGGTGCTGTGGCTCAAGTGGTAGAGCGCTAGCCTTGAGCTGAAGAGCTGAGGGACAGCACCCAGGCCCAGAGTTCAGGCCCCACGACGGGACCCAAAAAAAAAAAAAAAAGGTACACCACCAGCCATGATCAAAAAGCTAATGGACAGGGCCCAGACCTTGAGTTCAAGCCCCAGTACTGGCGCACACACACACACACACACACACACACACACTCATTTGTGAGTTTACAAGTCCTTCTTCCACCCAACATACTCTTTGCTCAGCCTTCCCATTTCCTGGGTTGTTTGGAATTTGTGTATGTCCTCACTCAACCCTCAAACGGAACACTAGTCAATCTTTTTAGGGCTACTTTTTTCGGGGCCAAGGGGTGGGGGGTCATTTGTGGGCGTTGAACTAGGAGCCTAGGCTCTTTTGCTCAAGGCTAGCACTCTACTTTGAGCCACAGTGCTAATTCCAGTTTTCTGATGGTTAATTGGTGATATTTCATAGATTTTCCTGACTGAGCTGGCTTTGAACCCCAATCCTCAGACTCAGACTCCTGAGTAGCTAGGGTTACAGGCATGGGCCACCATCGCCCAACTTAGGTCTACCTTTAAAATACATTCAGGCTCTAGAGGGTATTGTTTAGGATAGAGCACATGCTTAGGATACAATAGGCAGTGGAATAGATCCTGTACCCCTCAAACAGAAGCTGGCTCCAGAAGTTCACATCTGTAATCATAGCTACTCAGGAGGTTGAGATCTGTGGCTCAAGGTTCACGGCTCAAGTGGTAGAGCAGCAGCCTTGAGTAAAGAGGCTAAACAAGAGCAACAGGCCCTGAGTTCAAGCCCCAAAACATGCACACAAAAAAATAAATAATAAATAAATAAATCACCCAAGCCTAAAGTGACCAATTATACAGAAAACACTAGGGTCTTAAAGGCAGGTCCTATTTGGGGTAAGAAATAAAAGCCAGGAAGATGATGAGCATCTTAGATGATGCCTCTGGGCAAAATGACAGAGGCGATTTACCTTCAGGGTTAGGTTTAAGTTCTCTGCATATCAAGGGCTTGAAGTTTCACAATCTGGAACTACTTCCAAAGACTTAATGATGAAGAAGGATTTATTCCATTGGACATTAGCTGGGCCCACTAACATACTTACCTATTTTTACTACACTCACTAGAAACAAAGTAGACTTGCATGATCAATAAGCATGTATTTTCCATCAAATGAGACTTTCTATCAAATGTAATGAACACTTATGTCTTAGAATTCTAACTTCTGGCCTGGAGTCAGGAGACTGAGATCTAAGGATCACTGCTTGAAGCTAGCTCAGGCAGGAAAATACCTGTGACTCATCTCCAATTAATCACCAAAAAGTTGGAAATTAAGCATTTCCCTCGAGCAAAATTTAAGCCCTAGTCCCAGCATCACACAAAAAAAAAAAAAAAAGGAAAAAAAGAATCTAACTCCCTGAGGTTTAAAAAAAAAAAACCAACTTTTTCTCATGCCTTTTACCTAAGACCAACAATAATCACATGCCTAAAATAAGACACATGCCTTTAAGATTCATAGCTAGCCAACTGAGTACATTTCTGATCTCGTTTATTGAATTCTACCTTATTTGCTTACTCAAACTCCTTTGACACCCTTTAAATTCTTCCTTTAGACTGAAGTTGATCTTAATATGGTAATCCTTTGAAAATCAGTCTCTCCTCCCCACCCCTAGACATTTTTTTTTTCTTTTTGCTGGTCCAGGGGCTTGAACTCTGTCTGGGCCTAGACACTGTCCCTGAACCTCTTTGTGCTCAAGGCTAGGGCTCTATCATGTGACTCACAGGGCCACTTCCAGCCAGCCCAGGCTGACTTTGAACTGTGATCCTCAGATCTCAGCCTCCAGAGTAGCTAGGATTACAAGGCAAGAGCCACCTACACCAGCTTCCCCAACCCCAGACTTTCTATTCTGATTGTGTGACTTAAATAAGACCTTTTGTTTTAATGTCAGAAGGGTGTGTTCATATAAAAATAATAATTTCCACTGAGACCAAATAAAACTATCAAGGGAATAAATGTATCATGGTTTCCTAAACCACACATAAAGGGGAAGGGGAGGAGTTAAGGAGTTAAGATAAATGCCCCCCCAAACTGATCAACTTAAATTTCTACTTGGACATCTATCAGAAGACAATGTATACAGGTCTAGAGAAATTTTGAGAGAGCACATTTTTAGGGAAATACTCCTGAGATCGAAATCCCAACCTGGTTCTCCTGCCTGAAAGAAGATCTAGCACTTGTGCTTTGTATAGTTTTGTTTGGGAGTTTTTTTGTCTCTCTCTCTCTCTCTCTTCTCAAGACACATGGCTGGCTATCCTAATCACATAAGTCACAACTCTGAGGTGGTTCCCACAGGCCCTGAAAGGGGGCAGACACGCACCCAGCACGCGACAGTAGTACGATGTGTGGAGCTGTTCTGTGTACAAACACAGCTGTGACCTGCCGGTGCCCGGGAAGTTTTCTACTACGCAGAGAGGAAGACGCTGAGAATAGGTTGTCTTTCACAAGCCGGAAGAACTTCCTCCCACTCCAAACCATCTGGAGAGCTGAAAGAAGCCAGTCTTCTCAGGCCACACCGGGTCACACGAGGAGGCCCACCCTGAGGGGACCCACCTCCCGGCCCCCCCCCCCCACAGTCACGGTGGGGATCTGGAGGAGAGGTGGGGCAGGTGAGGGTGCGTGCTGGGGTGACAGCACAGCCGTGGTCGTCTCGACCACCGGGGAGATGCGCAGCGCGGTTCTCGGGCTGGCCACCTGCCTCGGGACCACCCTCCTGGCAACCGGGCGGGGCCCCCCGCCGCGGCGGCTGACACGTCCCCGGACCTTGTGGCGGGGAGGGGCGCTCCGGCCCCGCGCCATGTAAGGGCAGGTCTAGCCGGCCGCTGGCGGGCGAGGGCCCGCCCGAGTCCCGGAGCCCACCCTGCCCACTCCGGGCGTGACAGCGCAGGGGTCTCGGGCGGGCGGGCGAGCTCGCGGAGCCGGCATCGCCGAGGCGCCAGGTGGCCCACGCCTCCTCGGTGGGTGGAGGTTGCATCATGCACCACGCCGCGCCTTCAGGGAACCAAAATGGACTCCGTGGAGGCGACAGCCGCATGGGCACCGGCCCCGCGCGCACACCCCGGGCCCGCCCTGCCTCGCCCTCCCGGAAGATGCCAGCGCCCCCCGCGAGCGCCACGAGTCATCCCGGAGCCCGCCGTCCCACGGTTCCACACGGGGCTGGAGACCCCCCCCACACACCCCACTCCCAAGGTGACCCAGGCCCGAGGAGCTGTCCAGGCGCTGGCGGGGTCCAGGCACTCACCGGGCGGGCGGGGCGCTGACGGGCGATGGGATGCGGACCACACCGCGGGTGGAACGAGGGACGAACGGGACTGGAGGACGCTCGGCCGGAAGGGTAAGCGCGCGGGGGCCCAATGGAGTACGGTTAGGGCGCCGTCCGTCCGCGTGTCCCGCTGCCTGCTCGGGATGTGCGGCTCACACCTGCCCGCGTGGAGTGAATGAAGCGCGCAGGGAAGGCGGGATCAAGCGCGGGTTTCATCAGCCGCCCGGGGCCCCCGCCCCTCGCACCGCCCGCCGCGGGCCCTGAAGCCCCGACTCGATCCTACGTCATCCTCAGAACCAATGGTAGCACGGCGCGGCGGCCACGCCCACGGCGGGCGGAGCATCCGTCTTCGCGCGCCTTAACCTTGGGATTCCCCCGCTGTCTGAAAACCTCACCCGCGCTTTCGCTGTTGCCGGCCGTTTTTTTCCGGCCTGGGGCGCCACGGCACCTTGGGTCCCCGGGAGTCCACAACTGCCCTCCGGCTAAACCCCCAGCGACCTGTGGGCCTGGCGGTGCTAACCCCGACCCGGCGAACCCACAGCGAGCTGAAGACGGAACTGGCGACCCGTTTTCCATCTCCCAAACTGAAGATTGGGATACGCTGTAAGGGTTTAATTTTTAATTCTTACCGATCTTTTTCTCCCGTAATAATAGTCCAAAGCTTGGCGTCAGAGCCTCGCGGCCAGCTCCGGAGGCGCAGGTCTGAGGACGGAGGCTTGAAGCCATCCTAGCCAGACAAATGCCAGAAGACGCATCTCCAGTCAATCCGGGGGACAGCTCAGGTATGGCTCAAGTGGTAGAGCGCCTGCATTGGCTGAAAACGCTCAGGGGCAGTGCCCAGGCAATGAGTTCAAGCCCTAGTACCTAGTCCTTGTCCATGGTCGGAGAGAGCCCACGCCACTCTGTGACAGACATGGGATCTAACTGTTCATGAACACTGGAGCTAACTCTTTGACTTTCTTTACTCAACACACACACAGAGCAGGAACCACAGTCTACACAGATTCCGTAATCAGTGGCATGTAATAGGTAAGCATGTGACAAATGAATACTGCCCTCCTCCCTGTCCATTAGCAGGAAAACAGAAGAATCATGAATGGTGTCCATGGTCTCAAATGTTGGGTGTTCGTTATCAGCTACGGTTTTCATTATATTTCCTTGGAATTAGATAAGCAATTTCTGAGGTACATTTCTGCATGGAGTTCACCTTCAGAAGAACTCTTGTGTGGGGCTGGGAAGGTGGCTCAGTGGTACAGTGCATGCTGAGGCCCTGGGTTCAATTCCTCAGCACCACATAAGCAGAAAAAAGCTGGAAGTGGCGCTGTGGCTCAAGTGGTAGAGTGCTAGCCTTGAGCTGAAGAGCTGAGGGACAGCGCCCAGACCCAGAGTTCAGGACCCCCCCACAAAAAAAAAAAAAACTGTGTGTGTGTGTGTGTGTGTGTGTGTGTGTGTGTGTGTGTGTGTACTAGTACTGAAAATTGAACTCTGGGGTTTGTGCTCTTGCTTAGCTTTTTTGGCTCTCTATCACTTGAGCACATCTTCACTTCCTGCCTTTTCTGTCTATATAAAACAAATCCTTGTTTTAGCTCATTGGAAGACTTTCTATTTTATGGAATAAAGTATTAACCTGGATCTAGAATAAAATAAAAACCAATTAAAATCTTTAAATTGTTGGTTTCACCCTTTGATGATTCTGATCCAAAGACTATCCCTTTATGATTTAAATATAAATGTAGGAATTTTAATGACTCTTAGCATTAAAATAAAACTGTAAATCGCTGTACTTAAGCAACACAGAGCCCATACAGAATTAAGTTTCTCATAATCCCAGTCTGCAGGCTTGACCTTCAGAAAGGTAATAGGAAACTCTAAATGATAAAGCCCAAGGGAAAGTGACTTCTCAGGAAAAAAAAGAAAAAAAAAAAAAAACTAGAAATCAAGGAGCAAAATAATTTGGCTCAAGATGACACTGAAAAGAAACAAACAACAGAATTTTTTTTAAAAAAAGGCTGAATATTTTACTAAAAGCTAACATTTAGGCAGATTAAGGTTCATGACAAAAGTCCAAAGAAATCATGAGTGATAGGCTGTCTTGGCTGCAAGCAGAGAACATTGAAAAGAAGATGTGAGAACTTAGCTCCTGGAGAGCCATATCACAGGTTCAAGTTAACAGGACAAGTCCCAGTCTAGCACCATCAGGCACCATGAGACACAAGAAGTACCCAGAATCAATCAGACAGATGTGGGTTGGAATTCTAACTCTGCCACCTGGAATAAACTCCTAATTTGTCAGATTATAACACAAGGAGTATGTGGTTCTCCACTATGAGCCTCAGTTTCTTCTTCAAAATAATTTTTCCAAGCACCTATAACCCTAGCAACTCAAGAGGCTGAAATAGTAGGATGGCAGTCAAAGCCAGCCAGGACAGATAAATCTTGAAGATTTTTATTTCCAATTAACTAGCAAAAAGCTGGAAGCATAGACAAGCCGTAGGTGGAAGAGCATCAGCCTTGAGCAAAAAAAAAAAAAAAAAAGTTGGGGCTGAGAGGTGGCTCAGTGGTAGAGTGCTTGCCTTGCATGCCTGAGGCCCTGGGTTTGATTCCTCAGCACCACATACACAGAAAAAGCCGGAAGTGGGCACTGTGGCTCAAGTAGTATAGCATTCACCTTGAGCTGAAGAGCTCAGGGACAGTGCCCAAGCCCAGAGTTCAAGCTCCATGAATGACAGAAAAAAAAAAAGTTATTCAGTCATGCATGGCCCCAGAGTTCAAGTCCCAGTACTGACAATAAGTTAATTAGTTAAGACAAAAGAATTTTATTCATTGCTGGAAAATGCACTATGAATATGAAAAATAGATATAAAGGTAGCATGAAATGCCCCCACAGACAGATCCAATAAAGCCCCACTGATCTTTGAAAGTGGAACAAAACAATTCAATGAAGAGAAGATAGTCTCTTCAATAAATGGTATTGCAATAACTAGATATCCACATACAAAATTGAATCTAGACACTGACTATAGCCCTTACACACACACACAAAAAAAAAAACCCAAAATGGACCAAAGACCTTAATGTAAATCACAAACATATAACCAGGCACCAGTGGCTTATGCCTATAATCCTAACTACTTAGGACTTTAGTTCCTACCCAGACTAGGCAGAAAAGAACTTCAAGACAACATGAGATAAAATCTAAGTGACCTTAGAAATTTAGTGAGGACTTTTTCTTATATTGTGGTGACAGGACTCAAACCTAAGTCCTCAAGCATGCTAGGCAAGTGCTTCATCACTGAGCCATACCTCAAGTCCTGGTGATAACTTCATAGATAAAACACCAAAACTGTGATCAATAAAAGATGATTTATAAATTGGACTTAATTAAAATTAAAAACCTATTATATGCCTGGCACTAGTGACTCAAGCCCATTATCTTACTATTTAGGAAACTGACCTGTGAGGATCATAGTTCAAAGCCAGCTTGGGGTAGGAAAGGCTATGACACTCTTCTCATCAATTAACCATGAAAGAAAAAAACTATAATTGGAGCTATGGCTCAAGTGGTAGAGTGCCAGCTCAGGGACAGCACCCAGGCCCTGAGTTCACACGCATGTGCATTGCACATACACACACATTCTGCAAAAACCATTATTAGTAAAACAAAAAGAGAAGTCACAGATTGGCAGAAAATCTTTGCAAAATACATATCTGCTAAAGGGACTGATATACAAAATCAAAAAGAACTCTTTCCAGGAGCTGGTGTAATTCTAGCTACTCAAGAGGCTGAGATCTGAGTATCATAGTTCAAAGCCAGACTTGGCAGAAAAGTCCCCATGAGACTCTTATCTCCAGTTAACCACTCAAAAACTGGAAGTGGTACTATGGCTCCAGTGGTAGAACACTAACCTTCAGCACAAAGAGGTCAGGGACAGCTCCCAGGCCCTGAGTTCAAGCCTCCAACCAACCAACCAACCAACAAATAAATAAATAAATAAATAGCTCCTAAGGCCCAACAATAGGAAATCCTTGAAAAAGCAAACTCAAAACTCCTATACTGTCAACAACAATCACAGAAGACTTCTGGTACCAAATGTGTGGCATTTTCTTTCCCCATATACAAACCAATCAATTCTACAGTAGACACCAGCTCCATGTCTTTCAGTTGGATTCATATAGAGATCCCACTGGTAAAGCCTAAGTCTTCAAGACTGACCTTCATAAGCTGCACTCATTGTATCTGTGCTTCTGACCAATTGTCTATAAAATGAAGGATCCTTAACCCTCTCCTGGGATTAGTGATCCAGGGACCCACAGAATCCAGGGAAACACTTAATTCTATTTACTAGTTTGTTACAAGAATATCATAAAGGATACACATGAAAGATGTATAGGTCTGAGCATGTGTAAAAGGGTGAAGGGCTTTTATCTTTTCTTTGGGCCCACCACCCATCAAATGTTCACACCATGTGAATACCATCACATGTTCCCAAAACCTGATCCTTTTTACATTGTTATGGAAGCTTCATTACACAGGCAGGACTGATACTGGCTATTCCTAATCTACTCTCTCTCTGCCATGATATGTGGGGTGAGAATAAAATTCTAACCATTTAACCCTACCTCGGTCTTTCTGATGACCAGTTCCCATCCTACTGTTATATCAGCTACCAGTTGCCTTGCTAGCCTACAAAAGCCACCACTTAAAAATTCTAAGGATTTTAGGAGTTGTATGGGATGAAGGTCAAACATGTGTTTTACACTAGCAGACATTCTAACTTTTTGGGTTTTTTTGTTTTTGTTTTTTTTTGGGGTCCGGTCATGGAGCCTGAACTCTGGGCCTGGGTGCTGTCCTTCGGCTCTTCAGCTCAAGGCTAGCGCTCTACCACTTGAGCCACAGCACCACTTCCGGCTTTTTTCTTTTTGCTTATGTGGTGCTGAGGAATCGAACCCAGGGCCTCATGCATGCAAGGCAAGCGCTCTACCACTGAGCCACCTTCCCAGCCCTGACAATCTAACTTTTTGAATTGGACAAATAAAAACACATATATCACCAAAGAAGGTATACCAATGATAAAGAAATATCTGAAAAGGTACCTAACATCAAATGCCATTGGTATGTTGGGCATTACTACAGTGAGCTATGAATACACACCTATTGGAGGGCTAAAATAAAAAACACTGACATCATCAAATGTCAAGGAGGATGTAGAGCCACAGGAATGCTCATTCAG